GTTAAGGGCGGCGGTGCCGGCGGCTTCCCGCTCGGTCCGCACCGGGGCAGATCGCGGCGGCCCACCCCGGCGGGTCAAACCTTTTTCTCGTTAGGGGTGAGCGCTGCTGCGAGCCGGGGAGCTCATCCGAGAGCCGGCGGGAGGGGGCAGCTGGGGGCAGTAACGGCGGGCTGTGTCCTCCTCCGCACACGCGTGCAGGGGAGGTGCTGAAGAAACTACCAACTCCGCCGGTATTCCCGCAGAGGCAGAGCTGCGGTACCCACTATGCAGTCTGCAAATCAAGTACTGAGCAGCGTGGTAGAGGAGGAGGGCTCTGCAGGTTTAGTGATTGGAAAGACGACGACGGAAAGACCTGGTCTTGCCCGTGGAAGTACAGGGGGTCTGTTGTCGCCGCACCCTGGTATTGGGACATGTACTCGGCCCTCATCAGTTCACCTCTGCTAAAAAAATGCCTGCTCATGCACCGGCTTTACTGTGTGTTAGAATCTTCTGTGTGATGCTGAAAAGTGCTCTCACAAGGAATACTCTATGAATACTAGGGTAAATGGACTGCTTTTTTTGTTGCTCAGTTACTCAAAATGTACTTTAAACATTTGGGCAGTCAGCTAAAACTCAGACCTGCTGATGTTCTGGGGACGATACCTCACTTGGAATTTTTACAGGTCTGTTTCTGTTGTTTGCAAATGGATGTGACTTGTAAAGCAGCACGATTTTTTTTTGGTGTTGCTTTATTTATTTATTTATTTATTTATTTTCAAATTAAGTATCTGTTCAAAGTGAACTGGGTTCTAAATATCCAGTTTTTCCTGACTTGAGCACTTACTCATTTTGAGCATATAGCAAGCATGTCAGGTGCATACCGAGGCACCTTATGTGGAAGATTCTATTTGGTTTTTGTCAGTTCTGCCAGACTCTGTTCTGCACTCCCTAGTGCTTATTAAGTTTATTTGCTTCCTACTCCTCCTATGTCAACAGGTTGTAATTGTTGATAGGTTTAGGACAGATTTTGTAACAGAAAACTGTACCTTTTTAACTTGCCAGCATCTAACTTGTCTCTTAGATGGGAAGGTGGTGGAGTGGGGTTTTTTTTAATGCATAATTAGGAGCCTTAGTCTACCTGTAACTATCTCTTTTGTGGCTGTTTTAATTCATTTTGGTCTTCTAGTGGTTGCTCTCACCTGAGCAACCTCACTCAAGGGGATTGTGGACTTGGATTTTCAAACGACTGATTAAAAAAAATATAACAAACATAGCCAGATTCCTTGTGTGGTCTTCCTATGGACAACTGCATCTTCCACCATCTCATCCCATCCTGGTGTATTACTTTAGACTAGCAGTCTAGCCTCTGGCTTGATTGAGTTTCAGTTCACAGGGTTTATCACTGTTGCATCACTGCACTGCAGCATTGTATTTGCATGGATTGCAGCGTTAAACACAAGGAAGCCAGTCCTCTTGAAAGAAAGAGCTGGAAACCATGCTCTGTTTCTGAGCTCTGTTATTTAGAATTAATGTATCATGGAAGCAGTTGCTGAACTCTTCTGCATCTCTTGCTCAGTCTATGCTCCCCCTCTTAAACTTAGAGTGGAATTGCTGAAGCTTTATTGGGTTTGGAAAATACTACAATATTTTTAATAACAGGTGGGATATATCAGATATGATAATACTATGTCATACTCGGTAGAAGGATGATGATGTTCTGCACAGGTAATGTTTAAAACCCAAGGAATTATGTTTAGTGGCTTGTACATGTAGAATGCTAGTGACAACCACAGAATAGAAAGCCAAAGCTGTAGTCACTTTGTAGTCAAAGATGTACACTTGCAATCCACACAGAAATTATTATACACTTTCATTATTATATACCTCATTAAGTACTTAACAGGGTTTGTGGGGTTTTTTTAATTAAAATGTAGTAATGAAATGGATATCTTTGATAATTAATGTAAGCACTTCAAAGGTTCACACAGCTTCTTTTCATTCACTATTTACTTAAACTTGGGGAGTACTGGCAGTTACTGTAGCTCGCTGACTGTATGCCATGCTGTTTCTGAGGAAATGAGATGGCCACATGCTGCAATGAAACACTGCTATGTAATTCTCTTTATATGTGTCACTTGTGTGTATGTCATTCTTTCAGTTCTCACAGTAACAAATTTCATGGATAGATTTTTCCTCTTTAATGCCATTTGTCTAGCATATTTGACTACTGATATGCTCCCAGCTAAGTTTCTTTTGGATATCAAGATAAGGATAACTGCTGGGAGCTTTTTATAATAGTTATTTTTAGGTAGGTTGAGTACATGCTGAATGCTCAGAGGTGTCCTGAGTTACAGGTTTCATAGTGTTTATGCAAGTTGCTGGTAATTATTAATGTAACCTTGAAAAATACATAAAGAGTTTTATGTAGTGTGGAGAAGATCTGGTGTCAGCCTGAAGGAATTGCCCAGAAGGTTATGTATACCATGTTTGTCATGATATATTTCCCCACAGAGGGAGAGGAAGACAGTATGGTCAGAATTCAGCAGATTCTTTGATTTGCAAGAAACCCACCTGCTTTGCTGAAAAATTTTGAACTTTATAAAAGTTTAACTGGAAATTAAGAACAGTTGGAGACTTCAGTAGTCTTTGTAATTAAAAGCTGATAATGAGTCTCCACTTAGCAGGATATTGTTTGTACCTGCAGTACATGTAGTGTCCTTGGCAATTTCATTAGTGTCCTTGTCTTAAAACCAGTATTATGCCTTGTATGCCAGCTTTATGTCTTGGTTAATACATGACTTCACACTTGCAGCAGGCATAGTGGTTATTTCTCTATATTGGGAGGACAGTGCTTTATTTGCCTATTTGTACAGTTAGACATACTTGTCCTTAACATAAAATCTACTAACAACAACAAAAGTTGTAGGTACTTTCTCTTCTTCTGCCCTCTCTAATGTAACAGCATGCACTACAGAGAACATGCCCTGTCTTCTAACCTTCCCTTATGACACCAGTTAGGGGGGCCATCTTCCTCTCAATTTCATCTTTCACAAACACATCTAACATTTCCCTGTATTGTATGCTTTTTTATCTGTTTTCTTAACTTTTGGAATCAAGGCTCAGTCACCGTAGGTGAGCTTTTTCTCCCGACTCATTGAAGTATTGCAACTGTATTTGAGAAATCTCCAGAAAACTAAACTTTACTTGAAAAAAGTTTGAACACTTTTCCTAAGAAAACTAAGTTGAACTGTACTATATCAAACTTGCACAATCTTCACTGTTCTGTATTTAAAGCAGAACAATTTTTTTCCACTTAGTTCTGATTATTGATATTTTGTCCCATAGAGTTTCTGTAGATTTGAGAATAAACTGTAGCGTAAGCAATTTTTAGTTTCTGACCATTTCTAAGTTCAGCCCTAGTGTGTAATAGGTGCATGAAAGAAAATTCCACAGGAAAATACCTTTTAGGCTGAAGAAAAGTAATCTCAAGAAAAAATTAAAGGAGGAAAAATATTTTGGGGCTTTTTTTTTTTTTTTCTTTCATTATTCTTTAACAAAACATTCTTTTCCAGATAGGAAAATCCTCGTGGTTTGATGTGTTCTAAGTTCTTGTGCTCCTGTGTTGAGCATCATATTTCAAAGTGGTTACTATGATAACATTGCCTTTTTAAATAAGGCTTGGATAATTCTGCTATTCATAGCATTATTACTGTTCATTCTTCTTGGCTTTCACAAGCCATGAGGGGGAAATAGAGATTTGAGTTTTTCTTCTTTGCTTGATTGGACTCAGGGAAACAAAACTGTCTCTAGTTCTTTGATTGGGTCTTGTACTCCTTTGTTCCATATTTTTCTTGATCTATCCTTTCATTGCAGTGTGAACTGTTAAACAAACCTGCAACGTGGTGTCTTGCAAGTCAGTACTGGTTTTCAGAAAGGTAGCCTGTGTTTTACCAGACCGTAAAGCATGGGAGAGACCTAAGTTTCACCTTACTACTGTTTTTTAAGTCTTTTGTCTTCAGCATCCCTTTGACCTGGAAGCACCTTGGAAGTCAAGGTATTGGTGTAGGATTGGGCTAGCTGAGGCTGTAAGGTGTTTACTGTCATTCTTGAAAGTGAATGGTATGAACACCAAGGTGGAGATTAAAATGTTCCTGTTGGGTAGTGCTGCTGAAAAAGGCAACGGAGACACAGCTATGCTAAGCAGAGGCAGTTTGTGCTGAGTGCTCCCCAGTTTGAAGTGGATGACTTGTCATGAGCAGCGTGTTCCCAGCTGTCCCCACCAGTGGCACTCTGGTAGATCACCAAAGACGTTTCAAAGATAAGCCAGTCTGGGTGAGAAGGTCAGTGTAGTGATCACTGGTACACTCAAGTATGTGTGATTTCCAGTCAGAAAGAAGCAGAAGTTTTCTATTGCTGTTTGTTTGGGCTTTTTTTTTTTTCCTGTTTCCTTGAAGGCCCCCATGGCCCACACTGAAGTGAAGGAGTCTTGCCTAGCCACAGATAGATGACAGTGTGGTTATTTGTTTTGTTTGAAACCCAGAGGGGTTTCTGTTTACATTTCTTAAATGGTGGTTGATTAAACTGCTGTAATTTCATATATTCAGAGCATTCTTAAACGTGTGTAAGCATCCAGAGTCATCTTAATGATACTCAGCTTTAGCAAGCTATGAATAAAAAGACTTCTCCAGTTCCTGAGGAGTGCCTTGAGACAGTTTGAGTTAATAGAAGGTAATTACTGACACCCATTGTTACCTGTCAGGAGGGTGAAATTCTGTTGGTCTTTTGTTTTTTGCTAACTTTTCAGTTAGCACATGATTTAGAGTAGCTGACATCAAGAAGGTTTTTTTTACTGGAAGGCTGAGATTAAAGAAGCTACAGGATGATATGACTTGTAGTAACTGCCATCAACTACAGTAACATCAGGTGGTTGTTTAACTGTTGTGGCATGACATATTGTACTTAGAAGTGTAATTCCTACATTGTTCCTTTAGTTTTGTTTCCCTTGGAGCCGTCCCAATGCTCTGCTTTGTTTTTGAAAACTCACTGACCTGGAACTGTGCATAATTGTTTTTTCACCTCTTTCAAGTACAGTGTATGTAGTTGACCATATTATTCACAAACCTCAATCTTTTTTTTTTTTTTTTATTTTCTATACTATCTGGCTTGCCTTTACAACTATTGATATGTTCAATTTCCAAAGAAGATTGCAGGTTATCTTGCACTTTTCTGTTTTCTTGCACGCATCTTAATGAGCTCTTTTTTTGTTTTTGCCAGAGATGGTGCGCTGAGTCATTTCCACAAGAGGCTTCTGTACCACTTCGAAGCAAGACTACATTAGAGAATAAAAGGTGTGAGGGCACACCAGCCTTTTTTTGGCTAGAAAGCTAACCCTCAAGTGAATGTATTGAAGATTTCTAGACTTGGTGGGACAAATATCTCTACCTCCAGTTTTATGAATACTGCTAGCAATGGCTGTGGAACTCTGTTTGCTGCTGCTCCTTTGTGGAAGTACAATTTCAGAGGTACAGCCTATATACAAGCCACCTCCTGGGACTTTGGATTTTGGATTTGTACCAGCCAAGACGTATGACACAGGTGCATATCATGAACCTGGGCCGATAGGAATTTTGTTTAAAATAGTACATTCATTCCTGTACTTAGTGCAGCCAAATTCTTTTCCTCAAGGTAAGCAGATAAACTACTTCTTTTTAATAAAGATTTGCAATTGATATGTTTGTCCTGTTGTAGATACCAAGACCCGTAATATGGAAGTAAATGATATGAAGGGCTGTGTTAGTAGCACATGTTATGAGTTGTCCCTTCTTCTAAAGGAAAATTTAGGATGTCAGAGAAGTGTGTGCTTATTGAGGTTGCATTGATTAAAGGTGCTTTTTGGGAACTCTCTGTGTTTGTGGATGTGGTAGTTTGTATTTTCCTAATTTTCCAAAATGCTTTTTGCTTCATTTAGCTCTTAAAAGAAAATGCTAATGTGTTTGTATAATACTGACACTTAAAATTATATGGAGGTGAATCTTTAATAAAATCTAAGATTGGCTTTGGTTTGTTACTGATTCCTTTGGTGGTTTAGCTGTAACTGTGTATAAAAGGCATTTATATTATTTTATAGTACATCTTTAAATTTACATATTAAAACCTTCAGTAATTTAGTCTTAAATAAATTCTTTGGTCACGTACCTGTGTGATACCGGTGAAATATTATTTGCTTGTACTTTTGACATTTCTTGAATAGCTTTAGAAGATTGAGCTCAAATGAACTCGACTGAATGAATTATATTTAGGCAAGTGCCTGGAGTCCCAGGTGTTAACCAGGAGAGCAAAATCCTGGCCTGTTCCCTGAAGGATCTGCCTTCTGAGCAGGTCTTACGCAAGGTGTAATGAGGGCAGTTGCATGAAGCTGACAGTAATGTCATCTTTTGGAGGAACTGTTTCCAGATACCTCTGCTTTTGTGGCCTCTTTCCTGCCATTAAATACACATATGAACTGTTTGCCTCTCTGAGATCGGATATGTTAGTATTGTTATCTGCATTTCAGCTCTTAGAAACAGGCCTTTGTTCTGCCTGAAGACATGCTTGAATGTTCTCTTATGATTGTGGAAACTTGATTTCAGTGCAATGTTTACTATGTCTTTATATTAACAGGAATTTGCTCTGTAATCTTGTATATGAAATTTAATATTATGGATTGTAAGCATGTAAATAATTGAGTATAGAATTTGTGATCAAGATTGTAGTCTTGTGGGGCTGCCTGTAACAAGTTCTGCATCGAGTTGGTGTTGTGAAATCCAGCATTAAGGAGAAAAAAAGTCATCCATAAATAAATAATTTGTTCTTGGCATGTAAGTTTTGAACATCTCATACCTCTCCTTCCTTCCTTCCTTGCAGATACTTTTTTTGCCAAATCAGCTGTTTTTATAAGTTTGGCTTTCATTATTTGCATCAGGTGAGGTCTTTTTCGCATGCCCCTGTATACCTCACTGCAAAATACAGATTTGATGGATCATGTTGGTTTGAGTCATTCCATTTAATTGGTTAATCCCCATAACTCTTTTGCCATATGCTGTTCTGTTTTCATATTCAGTGTATTAATGGTGTGGTTAAATATTTGAAATGTGGTGGTTTGTTTTTTTTAAACTGCCAATTTGAAATACAGTTAATTCTGGTTCAGGGATGAAAATAAACATAATCGCAAATGGGCACAAAAAGCAAGCCTTTTGATATTTCTACCTCAAAACTTTGTTATTCCGTTTGGGCTGGTGCTTCAGAAGAGTTAGCTCCAGGTTGATGTGTCAAGTGTATTGCATAGAACCATAAATAGAGAAGTGTGATTTGTGTGCAGGACTTTGTATCAGTCACTTAGAACTTTGATCTTAGTAGTCTTATACTTTTTCCTAATACTTGGAAATACTTGATGTTTGTTTTTTCTGTCTACTGCTAATACTTATAGCTGTGAGGGGGAAAAAAAAAAGTGACAGGATTGTCTAATTGCATGTAGATATTCCTGCCTTTGCAAGTCATCTTTGTGCTTGCAATAGAGCTCTGATGGAGCTGAATATGTTACAGTATATCATTCATAGTCCTTCAGTCCAGGTATGACTTTTATGAAGAAAGCTAGTGTGAGCTTTATGCTGTTACAGTAAAGCAAAACGTGAAGTACATCACAAATCTTTGGGAAACATTCTTAAGGTACTTGCATGCTTACTAAGCCTTTATTTAAATGTTCTTATATGTTACTTGATAGTTGAAAGGGAACACTTCATTTAAATTTAAAAAAAAAATCAGTCAAAAATATTTGTAAGGGTCTCTTTGTTAAATCTGAGTAATTGCTTCTACATTTGTTCCTGCCATCCAGTTTGTGGACATACAACTTATTCTAGATTTAATAGGTAAGTTATTACTGGGATTAAATATAGTGCTTGCTTAAAGCACAGTAACAGAACCAGGGCAAAGAGCTATAACTCCTTAAGATTTTTTCAATTGCTGAATCTTTAAGGCAAGCACTGTGCTCTTTGGATATGGCAAGAAACTAGTTTTTAAAAAGTGAACTAAGATACCTAATTGTAATGCTTCAATGAGTGTAAACAGATTCTGCTTTCAACTCCACCAGAGTCCTCACTAGATGATGTACTGGTGTAAATGGAAGTGAAGTTACCCCTAAGTTGAAACTGTTAGGCAGGGAAGCAGCTTCTGCTTTGAGTTAATGATACACTAGTGTGGAGAAGACTCTGTTTGGTCACTGGTCAGCTACCTGAGATTCACTGGGTCACTTTAATCTTGATGTGCCTTGGTTTCTCCATTTGTAAAATGGAGCTGAAGGTGCTCCTACTCCTTTTGTTGAGGACTGTGTAGGATAGAGTGTGATTATTTCTTACTGTTAATAGCACCACTTACAATAAATGGATGATAACAGGAAAAGTACAAGTTGTTTCTATCACTCAGCTAAGAGGACATCTAATGAAACAAATTATTGGTTTTTCTCTTAGAATTTGTCATAAACTGAAGCATTAATTTATTAATAAAGTTAAGTCAGTTCATGGTTGTGACATGGTGCATGTCACCTGTTGTGTTGGAGACCTTCAGATGTGGACTTGATGTAGACAGAGCATGGTCACTATGATCCTCTGGCTGTTAGGAATATTTTACGGTTTCGTCTTTGTTCCCATGGAAACCAGTTGTTAGTTGCAGTAAAATGATGTTAATCTGAGATTCCACTTGCAGGATGTGCACAACAAGTCTTCAGCTTCACAGCTTGTCTCGTAACGAAAATGTGAAGGGTTCACAAAGAAAAAAAGCTGGGAATAAAACTCCCACTCCTCCTGTTCTTAAGTGAAATAAGACAAAAAACTTACAGGCCTGTTTACTGTACTCTGCTGTACCTGAATGTATTGCAGGACAACTGTGCCGCTTACGTTAAGCTACAACTGCTTTGTTCCAGCTTCTGTTTTTTATTCTGGATAACCCTTTTTCTGCTGAAGTATGAATAAAACTTTAACATTTTCAACTGTTTAATGCAGATACTTCCTGGGCAAAACATAATGTGAAAAGTTAAATGTACTGTTTGCCTGTGGGAACAAGAACAAGCCTGGAGTGCACCTCTCAATTCTGTTTGCGGAGTCTTCGCTTGTTGAACAGTTTGAGCGTAAGATTGGGGATCAGAACTTGACTATTTTAATGCAAAGTCCTGTCTCTGATGCCTTTTGGTCTTCCTTTTTCCTCATCTGGTCAGCCTTTAAAGCAGCTGCTAAGTGGGGAGTTCAGCAAGTTAGTCTTGTGTCCCCTGTCTCTGCAATTAATATCTCACATTAGTGTATTCAGCAATTAAAACACTTTAACATTTTAAAAATAAAATCACATAACTTGATGTGAAAAATAAACAGTGTATTGATAACTAGTTTAGCTGTAATAGAAAACGCATATGCGAAACTGTTGTTGTAGGTAGGTTTGAGCTCCTAGGATACTGTGGTTTTTTAGTACATTAGCTGTGTTGGATGTGAGATTCTAAGACAAATAAAAGATTTTATCATCTCCTCAGCTAAATACTCTGGTATTTAGTCTTTTTTTTTTTTTTTTTTTTTTTGTATGTGTAAAACTAACTTCTTTGCCTTTTGTAACTATTTAGTTCTTGGTTGCCTGTTTCTACTTTAGTTTTGCTTCCTGTTTGTAATCTTCCTCAGCTTCCCTACAGAAATATCTGGATGTTGCAGCACTGGAACTAAACTCAGCTACATGTATCTGGTAATGCCCTTTTGTTTTTAAACTTGAGACTTTTTGAGGAACTTGGACATGTTCACACCAGCATATGGTGAAAGGCCTGTGCTCTGGCTCTCACTTATGTGCAGGTGCTGCAGTCTAGCAACATAAGATACTGCTCAGGTACCCAGAGTTATTATGACCTTTTATAAAAACAAATTATGATATCTTTTTTCCAATTGTGTGAAGTCTCAGTTTCAGTTTGGGTGTGAAACTGCACTGATGTGATAAACTTCTTTTTTTTAAGCTAGTGTTGGACAGCAACCCCCCTGTGCTTGTTGGGCTGGCTTTCTTAAAGCTTTCATCTGGGAGCTGGATTGGGAGCATAAATGCAATTGCTGGTGCAGGAACTGAGAAGGGAACAAGTGCAAGACCTGCACTTTAGTTAGCTGTTAGATTGGCTAAATTGTATTGTGAAATGACACTTTCAGTAATCTGTAGAGTCAGTGCCTCTACCACATCCCTGTAACTTTTTTCCAGCACTGTGGCTAGGGCTGTGACATGAATTTACAGTAGTAGATAAAGTGTGTATATAAAAATTGCAGGTTTCAGTGACAGACGTTATATATAGCAAGTAGTGGTGGTGTCATTTGAGTAGAACTGGGATAAGGGGGATTCATAGTGCTCCTTTATTTGCATATATGTTCTATACATTGAAAGAAGTGTCTTGTGTCTTAGCATTGGAAATACTGAAATCCTGGGGAAGATGGAGCAGCAGGAAGACACAAAATAAATTAGCCTCTTCTTTTCTCTGCCCACTTGTATACATTTAAGGAAGTAGTATTTAAAAAAGCATTGCTCATTTTATGCTGGGAATTTAGAGAGATGCTCTGCTTGATGACATACCCATGTAAACAAAAAACACTGAGAATGTTTCTGAAGCAGATTTAAGGCCCGCTTTTTTATTTTCTTAGTCA